TATACAGAGAGAGACCTGGTGTGGCAATGTGTTGGATCACAAAGTCAGTTTGAACTGCAAGGTCAGTGGTTTGAACCCATCAGCCCTCCTTGGAAACCCTATACAGGATCGCTGTGGGTCGGAACTGACTCAACAGCATTTAACAACAACAATATATTGTTGTTGTTGTTGTTAAGTGCCGTCGAGTCGTTTTCGACCCATAGCGACCCTGAACCCGATTCGTAACCACTACGCTACCAGAGCTCCTCTACAACAATATATATATACATATAAATTTGAAAGTAGCTGTCTTAGAACAGTAGCCAAAGATTCTTGCATTTACAAAGAGATAGAACTAATCATGAAGGAGAAAAAGGTCAGGCTTAGTGGATAAAATAATTATGACAGGAGAAGGAAGAGGAAAGGGTCAAGAGGAAGCTACACCCTAACTTGTTAGTTCAGACAACACAGCCACATCCCTTTCATGAACAAAGTTACACACATATCTTAACACATTTCTCAACACTTGTCATTTTATTATCACTCAAGTGGTAAACTGTAGTTCTCTTCCTGAGTGCTACCTGCATGAACCAGGTGGAGGACTAAAACAGAAAATCATACCAAACATCCACTAAAAACTACTCTCAGGGGGCAATAAACCTCTCTCATTGTTCCATGGAAAAATTATTGCATAGAGTAGAAAAAAATAGCAAAGTGCCAACAGTCAGTCCTTTTCTTTACAGAACAGAGAGGTACTTTAAAATATTTTTAAAGGGATGCAGTATATGCAGGAAAGATGTTGAAAATGACACTATAGAATGAGGACAGACCTTCCCCCTAGTGTTGTTCACTAAGAATTCTTAATGCCTAGAGCAGTGCCTAACACATCAGAAGCGTCACCATCTAAATGGGCATGATTAAATTAATGAGTGGTTCTTCCTCTGAAGAGTAAGTCCCCATTCTATCTTTATCAGTTGTGATTCTGTCATATAATAACTTAACTTCAAACATACAGACAGACAGGAATCAGGCCACACATCCCTCCTACATAGATACAGTGACCTGGTGAATCAAATCCCAAACTAAAGATCCAGTGACTCAATTATTCAGCTTCAATGTCTCGGTTGCCAAGCTACTCCCAGTGGTAGCATAAAGACATGAACTAAGCATGTAGCATTAAAGGGCTTCATACTAGAACAATAAGGCTAAATGGTAACTTGGCATTATAGTGACATGAAAGCTTAAATGATCATCTCTCTTATATTTTATACCTTCATGCAGCAAGCAAGGCCCATAGCCTGCCTTTTACCAATGTCAATGTCATCTTAGAGCTGAAGCTAGGCTGTTAGCTTGAACATCTTATAGAAGATGGGATTTTTGAGCTTACTGCAATCTAAATTTAACAAATGACGGCTCCACCAAGCAAAGGATGGCTTGGGGGACAGGTGATTGGTAGAAGACAAATATGATGGGCCTGGTTGGAGAGGAAGAGATAAATGAAGTTACCTATAATGACTAGGGAGTCATCCATCTCTGGAAGCAGCTACTAGGATTATAAATGCTACCACTGAGCCAATAATGAAAGTCACTTAAGCCACAAACAATTATAGGTTATATTCCCTACCACCTTAGCTCTCCTCAACTGTGAAGCCCTGAAAAGAATAAGTACTCCATCAGTACAACAACATAATCTTATATTCTTAAACAGTTCGACTCTAAGGAGAAGGCCAATGGTCTGGATGCCTGACATCCAGTTCACTCTGCAACTAATTGTGTGACCCAGGCTCAGTGTCTTTTCAACAAAGATCCAAGAAGATGGTTAGATCCACTCTAACCATCACTCCCAGAAAAAGCAGCACAGCTCTTCAGAGCATTACGGAGGACTGTTTACTCCAGAACTCAGTTTGTATTTGACTATTGAAAAATAAAGATAGATACAATCTCAAAACAGAACATCCTTTTCTAATTGCTGCATATTCCAGGGGGCCTTCTATTACGACTCCAAACCCCAACCCAAACCCATGGCCTTCCATTGGATTCCAAAGCTGCACATTTTCATAGAAGCAGTCTGCTATATCTTCTTCCTGCAGGACAGCTGGTGGGTTCACATCACTAAACTTTCGCTTAATTGGAAGAGGCACTGAGATAATTTTTCTGGTCAAAGTGCATATTCATCCTCTCCTGATTCCTGAAGCCATGTGCATCAAGTTTGGAACAATGGAAGGAAATCATTGTGGGCCTCAGTGGACCTGTTGAAAAGGCAAAAGGCTAATTTTCTGGACCATTGCCACAGATGGGTCTTGGCTTGGGCCCATTCCCAACTATTTGCTGGTCTTTGACATAGCTGAAAACAAACCATGAGGTGAAAGATGAGCTGAGAAGCAAGCCTCATTTCAATAAGTAGCCGCTCGTTTCCGTGCCAATTTGTGCACAGGGCAGTAACAAACTCAGGAAACTGATCAACTCAGGGGAGTTGCTATCTAAACCTCATCAAGCCCAAGGAGGGCGTTAGAGTGCATAAAGCAGGAGAATGCTGGCGAATGCTGCAGAGTGACCAGGGTGGTTTAATTATGTGACAACATGCCAAGAAATAAGATCAGGAGGATGTCTTTATCACAGGCTTTTTCATTTGCCAAAATTTCCTGTGAAATTTACAGAGTTATAATAATACATTCGAGTGATCAACAATACACATTGGCTCATGGCGATGGTCAAGTACTTACTTGGATGCTAACTGAAAAGCTGCCAGTTCAAACCTACCCAGTGGACCCATGGGAGAAAGAGTTGGTGGTCTGCTTCCATAGAGAATGCTGTTAGTGTTCAGTGTCATCCAGTCAGTTCTGAATCATGCACAACAGAAGGAAAACACTGTCTGGTCCTGTACCATCCTCAAAACAGCTTTTGAGTTTGAGCCAAT